AAAACAACTGTTATGTTAATTTAGAGTTGTAAATATGTTTTGCCAGCATAAATGAAGCTACCGCATGTCCTAAAGTTCATGCAGCAGCACCTAACCCAACCAGAGGGGGTGTGATTGTTTACCCCCTCCCTGATCAAATCACTAACCCATGCTCTCTGTGCCTTCGTCCTCTTCCTCATCAGTCAGCTCGGCTCGTGGCATCTTCCTGCATTGTTTGGTGTTGGAGAAACCATTGGCCTTATGGGGGTTCCCTCATTTAACCCGCTGTTTGCAGGTTCAGCCAGAGGCCGTAGGTTCAGGGGGATGGAGATGAGCAATTTTTCTCATTTTGTCCTCCTTTTCAGAAGAAAAAAAGCTTTTCTTGGTTTTCTGGTGGGGAACACAGCAGTGAAGGTGATCAGACGCCCACTGGATAGGTCAAACCAAGTGAGCCCCAAACTCTGGTAATCCCTTTAGAAAATCAGTCTATTTATTGGAAGGTTGTGGATCTGAGTAATGCAGCGGAAGAAAGGTCCAGATGATACACTCAAAGTATTTTCAGAAGAAGTAAAATGCAACCAGTCTGTGGTTCTTCAAATGAGTGATCTATCATAATAGAACGCTCACTCGGCTGGATTTTCTACGTCAGACTTTGTAGTTTTATCTTTCTTTGTGTTTCAGATAAGCAGCCCCACATCTAACATGTTTATGCTGGGCTGTTTGTGAGCTTTAAGGGTGGCAGGAATGTCCTCCTCTGTTTCTGCTTCAGGACAAGAGATAAAGGCTGATAAGATTAGTGTAGATTTACACAAGATTTTTGTCATGATAGGTAAATAAAACCTCCCACATCAAAAAATGCCAAACTGGAATGTGTCTTTTCAATAAAAGCCAAAAGCAATTTTTTTAATTTGGCTCTTCTTTTCCTCTTTACAATTTATTTTTTATCAACCTCTCTTAAGGTCTAATAATCAACTTGACAGCATTTTATTCAGATTGAGGTTGCCAGTTGTTGTTGTTGTTTTTTTTACAGATATGTTGTATGTGGTTTGTTCCAAACATGGCAGTCTTTCCGAGCATTGCATGGTCTAATTTTAAGTTCAGTTTTTGTACTTGTGAATCAGTCCGGTTGTAGAAATATAGACTTTTATTGGTTCACAAAGAAGCTCCTATAAGCATCCCCTGACTGATGAAAGAGCTAATCCTCTAAAGTCACTGCAGAGCACTTTTAAGAAATTATCATAATTCCTGATTTCAGGAAACTTTAAAATATTAACACTAACAGATGGTCTAGTAGTTAAAGCTTATGATGGGGGAATGCCTGGTTGATGCTTTATTAATATTTGAGGAAGAATATATATTTTTTGCCTTTTATAAAAAAAAAAAGCAAAAACTAAAACTGATATTATACATTACAGACTTTGTTCAGCTGAGATTCTAGTTATATTTTTCATGTCCTTTCTCTCCACCCCAAAACAGAGTCTGTATGTACTTCATGTACTTCAATCTCAGCAGATACCTTTGTACAGTAAACCCCAAAGGGCCTGGTAACCTTTGACCTAAAAAATTGTCTCTAGTTCTAACAAAATATCCATGTGGGAATAAAACAGCCCTGAATGTTCACTCTTATGTTTGTCCTCTTGCATAGCACTCCATGCTACTGTGGCTCAGCTGGCAACTATCAAAGTTGTTGGTTCGATTTCAGCTCTCTCCTGTCTCATTTTGTTGTGCTTTGGGAAGGACACTTAATCCAAACTACTAATTAGGGCTGAAATAATAATTGTGATTAATCGATTATTGAAATAATCGTCAAATCATTTATTAATCATTAACTAGAGCCTAGAGACTCTAAAACATGCCTTTAGCTGACAGAGCATCCCACTTACAGCAGTAATTATACCAAGATTGTAAAAACATACATACAATTTTTGCATTTAAAATAGATTTTTTGTCTGTCCGTATGCTCTATCGGGAACTCCTCAAGTGGAAAAGCCTGAGTTTCACCTGGTTTAATTTCATAAAGTCTTCTTTAAAAAATCTTTGGCTATCCCTCTCTTTGACATGCCTGATTGTCAGTGTTTACATCTTGTGTTATTTTTGCATTTGCAGCAGTGGAAAGCCAGAGCTCAACCTCCAGCTCTAGCTTGGACGACCTATTTGCCAGCCCACCCTCCCCACCTCCACCTCCGCGCACATACAAGCCCTGTTTTGTGTGTCAGGATAAGTCCTCGGGCTACCACTATGGAGTCAGCGCCTGTGAGGGCTGCAAGGTAAAGACACCAGACCATTCTGATAAAGGCTGTGATTTATTTCAACTAACCAGTCATCAAAGTCTTCAGTGAAAGTTAATTATATAAATGAATTACTGACTCCTGTATTTATGTTGAAAGGTCCCTCTTAAGCATAATATATTTCCAGTGGATTTGTTTAGAGCCTGCTCAGTCCTGTTAAAAGGCCTGGTCTATGTGATATTTCAATGTTAAAAACAAGGAAAATTATTTAAAGGGGTCATAGAATGCAAAACCCAGTTTATATTGTCATAGATGAATAACGATAATTCAGTGGGTGAAATCGATGTACAGAGAAGTTCAAACCCCATCGAACCTCGTTTCTCTGCAAATCTCACAATTCTAAACTTTTACCATAAAACGGGCGAATTCAAACAAAACACCGAATTGATGTCAATTCGGGGATGTTGCCTTATTTGGTTTTAGCTTGTACTTTTGTCACGCCCCGAAATTGACAAACAGACCAGCCCACTGGTTCACTGGCCCAAGAACATAAATGTTTAACCTACAGTTGGGTTTACTTCTACAAGAATTACAAAGCAGGCAGTTTCTCTATTGAAAATGAGCCAGAACCACAGGCGTAAATGAAGTGTTTCAGGTTGCATGGAGAAAGGGGAACATTTTCACAGTCTTCCCAAGGATCAGAAGACTTGACAGGGATGGATTATTTTTGTGTATCAGAGGATCCCTGCAAAGTTTTGGGTGGGGGGGCTGGGACTGGACCGAGCATTTGAACTGAGCTGTGAGCTCCAGGGCTGGTCCAGGAACCCCAGTGACCTTACCGTGCCATGAAGCACGGGGCCACTGGTGTCCAGGCTACCGTCACCGGGTCAGTTTTGGTCGCTCCATCCCGGAGATCACGGCTTGGTTCTGCTGCACTGTAGTTGATCAAAATCCCGGACGATTTTAAAATTCCCCCCAAACATTTTTTTAGGTATGAAAAGTAGGACATGTCTTGGAAAAAGAGGACGTCTGGTCACCCTACCATATCAATAATTTGATGTTTCAGTGAGCGAGTGCTTGTTGCTATGATGCGTCTTTGCTCAGCAGCTTTGCTCGTTGTAAACCAACCAATCAGAGCAAAGCTCATCTAAATATTCATGAGGATATCATAAAAGGAAGAAAACCTTTCATTTCATGCTATGGCTTTTAACCAGGCTGGAGTTAGGCCTAATAGAACAGCAAGTATGCCATTTTCCGCCCAACCAGTGTTACACACCCTATTCAGAGACCTTAAGGACCAGCAGCAAATACCCTATAAAATCATTCTATGACCCCTTTAAAACTTATTTCCAACATTTATTTTTTCAGGCGTTTAATAAAAAGTAAGAGAATCTTCATCCATTTAGAGAAACTCAAGGAAAAACATTGACCTAACTAAGGGCAAAACATCTTGCAGCGAATGATGAAACAACCGAAAGAAGGTTAAAAAGGCTGCTAAGAGGGCCTACAGAACCTTAAAGGAGCTTAATTAATTTACTGGCTATGAACAACTACGTCTTGCCGTTTTTTTTCAAAACCCCTTTGATGTCCCCTAAGGACATGAGGTAATATTTGTTTGTACTGATGAAACCAAGATTTTATTATTATCTGTACAAATCCAAAAGCAAACTGCACATCACCAAATAAAAGCACATCTGCTGTAAAGCAAGGTGGTGGGAGCATCATGCTTTGAAACTATAACAAAAACCCTGCTGTGTTAATGGTAGTGAACAGATTTTTTGATCCACTGTAAATAAAATATGTCTGGGGTCTTTCTGAGATGTCCTCTCTGTCTCTGCTGATGTCTCTGCAGGGTTTCTTTCGCCGCAGCGTGCAGAAAAACATGGTCTACACCTGTCATCGTGACAGAAACTGTATCATCAACAAGATCACCAGGAACCGCTGTCAGTACTGCCGCCTGCAGAAGTGCTTTGCTGTGGGAATGTCCAAAGAATGTGAGTGTTCATTTTAACTCTGATTCCTCAAGAAATTATTTATCTATCTTCATATAATGCAAAATATCTATGAGAACACAAAGCTATATAAGAAAAATTAAGATATAAAATGCAAGAGCTTGAAGGGCTCTAATGTTTAAGTTGATAACAAGGTATATATGGAATTAATATAAGGGGAATTAGAATAAGCTTTGACCTATCACCAAATATTTACATCTTACCTTATGAAATGTCTCATGTAATATTCAGCTTTTGTATTTTTTTTTTTAATATTCTGATTTTACCTCCTTCCCTAATATTTGTATGTTTGTGTTCATATTTTTCTAGAGCCAGTTGGTTCCAAATTTCTTTTCTTTTTCTGGTTCCAGTACTGTTTTTCCTCTGGGTTTTTTGGTTGAGGATGAGGTTGGAGGAGGATACATGAAGGCTACTACATAAAACGTGGATTTGTACAATTTTAAGGATAAGGCAGCTTCAAATAGGAAGCTGTTTAAACTATCCGAGGAATCTCCAATGTCCCAGGATCCATGTTGAAATGTGGTTGAACTTACTCCGGATTTGGCATAACTCTAAATGACCGGCTCAGTCCCTGAGCCCCATTTTACACCATGGACTCAAATGAAAATAAAAATGATCCATATCAACAACAAATCTTTAGGCCAGATTTGTTGTTGTTATTGGTGTGCAGTGGTTTTTAGGACAAATAAGGAAAACACAGAATAGCATCTTTACCTTAAAGATAGAGATAAAAGAATATAGAAATTAGACAAATAAATCAAAGAAAATAAAAGTTTCACTTTAATCTGATTTATAATGCTTAATATTTCAAGCTCTGTTGTAAAAGTCACAGAAATCCTAAACCATGCTTAAAATAAATGCATTTTTTTGTTTGTTTTTTGATCCTCAAATTACTTAAAACAACTCAAATGACATTAGTTTAGCTTTTCACCAACACTGATTGGTTTTTACATAATAATTAGGATTTTGAATATTTATGATTGGTATCAAACAGTATCAAATTTAAAAAAAAAAACTTTCAAAAAAGGGTTTTTAAATCATTGAATTGTGCAAAACCCCATAAAACATTGATTTGATCAATTACCAAGTATGATTTTTTTCCAGCGTTTTTAATTCTCATTACACTGTCACAAGTACAGAGCAATGAAATCCACTCTCTGCATTTAACCCCTCCCCTTTCGGATGCAGTGTGCCCGGGGAGCAGTGAGGGGTTAAGGGTTGTAAGTGGCAGTGGGTTTCGACTCACAACTTCAGGATTCTAAGCCCTATGCCCTAACCACTTGGCCACCACTCCTACATGTGTTTTTTTTTAAGTTGTAATTTTCTCGAAGCCAGAACTCACTCATGTTCTTCAGTCTGTTTCTCTGCATCCAGCCAAAGAAGTGGATCCTTTCAGCTTCTATCCCAAATACACTCTAACTGTGCAGGCTTATGTAATCTGAACAGTCCTCTGAGCAAAAAGCTAAGTATTTTCCTCTGAAACACTCTGCCTGGGTGAAAATGATCAAACATTCATCTGAGTGGCCTATTTGTCCCAGTGCATTCAGGGTAGGAACATGTCAGGGGAGCTTTTACCCTGGCTCCTCACATTTGAGACAGAATTCAGGCTCTCATGTGATTTTCTTTTGGTTGAGGGTATAAGAGCCGAATTTAGCTAAACATAATTATTCAGAACTGAAGATGGCTTCCTTTATATCTACAGTCTAGATTAAAAGTGTTAGTTCAGTTAGGGACGTTGGTGGGTCCGTAATAACATTCATTATTACGTTGAGATAGAGGCAACACATTGGTAATATTAAAATATTGTTTTTAAACCTTAACCCCTATGAATAACTCTCAGCTAGTGAAATGTGTTTGCCCTCTCAGAGATCTCTGTTTTTACTTCAGACACAGATGACCAGAGTTAATGCAGTTCAAGTTATTTTATTTATTAATGGACAAAAGTTACTGAAATCAAAATAACTAAGTATCACACTTGGCCAACAACCCCATCAAGCAGTTAAGATAAGCATAAAAATGTCTTTTAAGTCACTGTAAAAAAAAATTTTTTCGCTTTTTTTCTTTTTAAATGATTGAATTCCAGCCACAGTTCTAAAGAACTTTCAGTTTTAGTTGATTTTGGCAACAATCAGTGGACAAAAGCTGTATTGTTTTGCCTGAAGGAAGACAGTATTTCCCATGAGCACCGACCAGGTCGCCTGCAGTTGGTTGAACTTCATTTCTATTTCCAGTGGCTCTGTGAAAGATGAATACCGAGGAGGAAATTAATCTAATTGTATTAATGTCATACGACGATGTTGAAAATAAGAAACATTGGTTTTGTTCTGCCGTTCCCACCAAAAACCCCAGTGACTGTCCACCGCCTGCCCACAGGAGCAGACAAGTGCGGATTGAAGGAATTTTAAGATGAGCTTTGGATGCCAGTTGGCTTTAGTGGAGGTGTGGTTTAAAACTGATTAGCTGTGTCGCAGGTGGATGAAGGAGAGCAATCAGTTTCTTCAGTTGAACTTCTGCCTAGGGTCCATTTCCAAAACCTTACAAATAGCTTCAAACCCTTTCTGGACTGATAGGTGTCAGTAAATTTGGATTTCTTACTTCCAGCTTCATGTTCTAATATACAGCTAGTCTCTGTTAAGTTGATATCTGGATTCTACAAGGGTCTACAGTCATCAGCCCTGGGTGTTAACACATAATATGACAAAACTTTGGTTGATAGCTGAAATAAGTGTGACAAAAAAAGGAAATCCTAAACGAAAAAATAATAAAAAGGGGCAAATACGTCTTCACAAAAAGATATCCTAAGTAAGCTTCTGCAATGGTGAGCTGCTGCCTGGCACCCTACTGAAAGACCAAGATGCCATGCTATGCAGCGACCTAGATAAGAGGGAATGTGCTATTTGGTTTGAGCCACAGGACAATGCTGGAGGATCCACCCAGCTACAATTTCTCATTGTTACTCACCCACATTCAGACATTAACACATTACATAAATGCATCACACGTATCAGACGCTTGCATGTAATGTAACTGCTCCCAGGCCGCTTCAGTAAGCATGTGATACGATCACTGTGTGTTTACAAAATGAGTGCCTGATGTAGGGCAGGAGGAGGAGGAGCAGGAAGGAGGAAGGTAGAGGCCAAGCTGTTGCGTAATCCTGAGCTCCCTTGACATGTGCGTAGCAGCCTGAGCCAAGTCAGTGGGACGCACCAAAACGTGTTGACGCATTACCAAAATGATTATGAAAGGCTAACCTGCATATTGAACCTAGTTCACATGTAACCTAGACTAATGGATGACCCACACAGATACCTGGTTACTGCTTTCATCTGAACAGAAAATAGTTTAATAGGTCGGAGTGGGTCTATGGAGGGGAGGGAATACATATTACAAGAATTCAGAACTTCATTCTATTGTAACAAGTCACGAGGCTTGTTGCACTGCTGTCTCTGGAAATAATTTGGGAATGATTAATTTCTGAATAATTTGTGAATTCTCTTTTCCTCCCTAAAATGTGATGCGATTCATAATGACAAATGCCTATAGGCAATTGGTTTTTCTGCAACAAGGAATAACATGGTTTTATTTTGTTTTAAGGGCGGTCATCTAAATCTGAGGTTTCCAAACTTATTTTTTCTTCTTACCCATAAACAAAAGCACCAGAATGAACTCATGACCCAAACTATTGGTTGATTACACGAACATTTCTGCAAAATCAGGGCAGGTTGTAGAGATGCCAACGAACCTAACAGTGATGTTTTGGACTGTGGGAGGAAGCCAGAGTACCCGGAGAGAACCCACGCATGCACGAGGAGAACATACCACTTCCATGCAGAAACACCACAGGCCGGGAATCAAACCCAGAACCTTCTTGCTTCAAGGCAACATTGCTACCCACTGCATCACAGTGCAGCAAACAATATATCGGCATAAAATTCACAATTCATCCATTTTTTGTCACTAATTCCAATTTATTGCCTTGAAACCAATAAATAAAATTATGAAATAAAACTAGTCAAAATTGTGATGACTACAGATTTTCAGTAATTGATGCAATAAATTTCCACCCTTACTCTGAGCACTGTGACATAAATACATTTCACCATATTAGGTTTTATTTCTGTAGCAGATATTTAGACCCTATAGTACTTGTCATCAAAATAAACAGGAAAAAATGCTTGAAACGTATGGAATCAATCTGTTTGACATTAGAGTTTTATCTTTTGAATCTTATTAAGGAAATGAGTTAGATACATGTTTGCAAAGTCAGAACAAATATCTGAAACTATTTAAATGCCTTAATGTCGTTAACATATTTTTTACCTACTTCCTCCTTTTCCCCAGCGGTGAGAAACGACAGAAATAGAAGAAAGGGAAAGAAGGAAGCGGTAAAGATGACCATCATGGAGACGTACGAGCTGACAGCAGAGCTTGGACTGATCGTGGAGAAGATCTGCAGAGCTCATAGAGAGACCTTCCCTTCCCTCTGCCAGCTGGGAAAATACACCACTGTGAGTGTAAGCGGAAGACCTGACTGCTAAATTAATACTCTTCAGAGATAAAGACCTGTGCTCTTAAACTAAACCTAATCTAAACATGAATGACAAAATAACAACACATAGAAAAAAAGAAAACACAAAGCAGTGAAAATAATCAAGGATGAGAGTTGCTGACCTTGTAACATATAAGTAGTCTACAACAGAGCTTTTTAGGGGGGCTTATGGTGATGGGACGTCTGCTGTGATTTAAAACGATCGGTTTCTCGGGGGAATTTAAAGCTCCGCAGATCATATTGTTATTCAGGCAGATTCTAGTTTCTAAAAGGTCAGAGCGGAAAAGAAGAGTGGCTGAACAAATGCCTGTTCCTGTTACTTTCTGTTTGAATCACCATGTGTGAGTAAACACAACATTCAGCAGGTACAACATAAGTATGACTGAAGAAAAAAACAAAAAAAGGGAAAAATTTTGGATTAGTACTAATATTTTATTTTATTTATCCATAAACCTTCTATGTTTACTGAAAAGGATTTGATTCTGAGGTGAATCGGGTTCAGGGTTTTGTAAAGAGACTATGTGGTTAGCTGTTGCTGTGTGTTGGACAGCTCCAGCTAATGATGTCTGTGGGGGATGGTATTCGATCGTCTCTCACCTAAACAATGGTTTCACAAATGGAAACTCTGTTGTCCAGGCAGTGGAGCTAGTCACTCTGGTGGCACTGATTGGCTGTTCATTAATCCTCCTGTGGTGCTCATCAGACCGATTCCTTCTTCTGTCAGGAAACTGCTGATCCACGTCACGTCTGCAGATGAAACTGTCAGCTCAGTGAACTGGACGGATCGCAATTGTTTCTAAATGCTAGGAAATGTCTCCTGTTTGTTAACTAGAGTATTGAAGTCTTTAGAATAGACAATCAGGTAAACACAATCGAGTAGAAAAATAGGAATTGGTGTACAATTATTCATATATGACTGCATCAAGTCAGGGTGAGTATGTGGTGACAGTTGACAGTCGCTTGCATTGTGTTGACTCTGCAGCAATGACTCTAAAGCCTGGTTTATGCTCAGAAACCAGGTCATCTGTAAGTGTGTCGAAGTTAACACAGATATGCCCCCCCTTCCGCAGACACTCCAGTGCACCTCCCCAAAATTGTAGGTGACCGCAAAAGGTGCCACAGATAGCGTCACAGGGAGGAGAGAAAGGAGGTCTCTGATTGGTCAACTTTGCATCCGCTCTATAATATGCATATTTCCTGTTTGGTACCTAATGGGAGAAACTCTGGCTGTAATGCCGTCCACAATGCCTGGCACACCTTGGACACTATCCTAGACACCCTACGGGACGCTAGTTTATAGCTCTGTGCGATGGTCTGTTGGTTTACACCCGAAGCCAAAACACGCAGCGCCATAGCCAGTCTTTGGGGAACACTCACGGGTGAACTGTATCGTCCGGCATTGGATGAGGGGTTGTAGCTCGTCAAGCCAACACATGGACACCTACAATTCTAGCTAGTTTGTGATGCGTTGTGACATGGAATAACAGCGCCGACCACGCTTCAAAATTGGGCATAAATCAAAAATATCTGCGTCTTACCTGCGAAAAGCTCACTGTGACATACTCCTGTGGGAGTATACACACCCCTAAGACGTTTAAAGACCTTTATACTTTCAGTCATTCAGTGCAGTCTGAGATGATTGTTATATTATTAGCCAGTTTATGTCGGGTTTCAGATATGGAACACAACCACATAATCCACATAATGTAAAACACACCTGCAGAGCAGATGTGTGTGAGTTGGTGCTATATAAATAAAATGAATTTAGTTGAATTAGAGGGCTTCACATCTGATCCAGGTTTGCAGAGTAGATCTTAGTTTACTCAGTGACATTAAAAACAGGCTCACACATTCGGCCCTCCATCACCATGCCTGACAGTGGCTGATATGCTGTTTGTTTTTCTCTAAACATGATTGATGATGATGATTGGTCTGTTTCTTCTACAGAGAGCATTATTTCTAAGGGCTCAAGATACATTCAGATTCATTCAACCCTTAAAGCCCAATGCGTATTGCCTTTTAGATAGCAGAGATTTTCCTTATGCAATGCTTCAGGCCAAGGCATGTTTGCTTAATGTTTTACTAGTTGTCCTTTCCTAAATGCTATTTTGTTAACTGAGATCTGTGATGTCTGAGATGAAACTCCATTTGTTCTTTACTCATATTGTTGCACAATCTGACATTTGATTGAATTTGTTTAAAAGTCTGTTAGCAAGATTGATGTTGTTTAGATTGCATTTATCAAGCATCAAGACATAAACATATTAGAAAAGAATGTAAATGATCGGGGAGTGCTGGGGTAGTGGTTAGGGCATAGAGCAAGGAATCATGAGGTTCTGGGTTCGAGCCCCCACTCCTACTGACTGCAACTCTGGGTCTCTGAGCAAGACCCTTAACCCCACACTGCTCCCTGGGCGCCCCATGATGGCAGCCCACTGCTCCCCAAGGGGATGGGTTAAATGCAGAGTTAAATTGATCCAATGTGAGATCAGTAAAGTTCAATTATTATTATTATTATTAATTTAGAAAAGAATAGCTGTTACCTTTAGGGCATCTCCCAGGCTAAAAGCTCTGTTGACATATTAATGCTTGGTATCAGGGATTACTGCCATGTTAAAAGGACTTGATGCATTTGACTGTTCACTGTTGCTTCCTATATGTTCAGGAGGAGGAATTTCTGCAAAGGCGATGGCCCAATGCAATTTTCTGGGTTTACTAAGCAACTTTACCACTTTTTTATCAATAAACCTTTTTACCAATTGACATGATAAACATAAATGCTATAGTTTAACTTTGAGCAATTTTTCTATTTCTATCTTTTTCCTTTAAGTCTGCCAATAATTGTTCAATTCTTTTTCTAGTGTTCTTAAATTGTCTTTTATTTTTGTATCATCAAGACCAGGAAATCCTCTGAAAGCAGCAACGTTGCACCTTATTTATTTTGCATAGCTTTTTTTTTTTTTTTTTTACAACTGATTAATCTGACCTGGAAATATCTGAATTGTGGTTTTCTAGTTCCAGAAATAAAACTATCAAACAGTGCCACACATGTAAACATGTCAACACATACTCTGATCAGTTTACTATTTGATTATACTTTATTTAGTCGAGATGGGATTTTACACTTGGATTGGATTTTGTATTGATCATAGGACGACAGCAAACAGGTGGATGTAACAGATCCGGTCCATATGCCTCATACAAGGAAGGGAAAGCATCTGTGTAATAATGACTTCCTGTTTACTAATTATAGGGGTGTTTATTCTAGATTGCCTTTTTTCCAAAATAGTATATGATTATATAACTAATGAGTCACAGAGGGATCAATGCTTAGGAATAACCTTAAGATTAGTAAGTGGGATGCTAATAAACGTACACCTCACACTCATGTTGAAAATGTAAAAAACGGGAATGCTTTTAAAGATGTCTTCTAGTTCATGTTTCTTGGCAGATTGTGAACTAATGATACAAGAAGGAAGACATTCACCCTGCTATAGTAAACACTTTGTGCGTTTAGCTCAAACTGTCACACACACCTATCAGTAATAGAAACACATGATAGCTTACTGTATTGTCCTCTTGGTTACAGGACATATTCTTGTCTGTCCTGGAGCAGAATTATTAACCATCTACGTTTTCGTTTGTTGATTTCAGAAAATAACTAGAATACTGGATGGCTGAGAGGAATAAATCCCAATTTTATCTCTTAAATTACTTGGAATTACTTTTATTTGTGGGAAATGTTCAACAAACTTCAATTTTAGAGACAAAAAGAAATGTCAGCGTGCACTTATAATACATATTGTTATTTCTTATTCATTTTTATTGATATTTGTTTAAACACAAGTTCAGGTAACTGTTCTGCTCACCTTTGCAGATACAGATATAGCATAATGAACATTATACTGTACAGGGCACCTCAGTTTTAGTTTAAAGGGTTTTAAGAAATAAGCCATGACTAATGATTCCCACCTGCCCATAAAAGAAGGTGACAAACGTGTGTTGTCCTAAATTTATATTTTCCCTTCACACAGTCCCAAACTAAAGTCTAAGCACTCTAAACTTGCTGTAGGTTTTGAAGTTTTGACTTTAGCTGCTCCAATCAAACTTGTAGTTTTTTTCCCTCTTGTTTTTTCACAACTATATTAGAAATATATATACGATATATACAGATACATTATATATTTCCTCTGCACTGACAATTGGTAATAAATACATTTTAATGTTTTTAGGAAAACCGGCAGAAATCGTTCACTGTAGAGTTTCTTCAACAGCTTGACATGTTTCACAGATTACAAAAACAGAGTCTGTTGAGTTTTTGTGTCACATCCATTTTATATGATTGGTGCTAACCTGTTGATGCTGACCATGGATCATCTTTTGAAATCCAGCTGTACCAGCCCTCTACCAGACTAATCTGCCATGTATAAGTCGAATCAGTCTGGTTGGCCAGGCTGATTTGAATTTGGGTTTTTTTTTTTTATTATTATTATGCTATCAGTCTAAATAAGGGGGCTACATGGATTGTTTTGTATTCTAAGTAATATTTACATGAAATGCTGCAGAGAAGCTTAAAATATATCAGAGTCAGTGTCACAAACAGAAATCATGTTGAGATAAAGACCGTTTACATCGTTTTTCTTTCCTTGTCTGTCCAGAATTCTAGTTCAGACCATCGGATTCAGCTGGACCTCGGCCTGTGGGACAAATTCAGCGAGCTCGCCACTAAGTGCATCATCAAGGTGGTGGAGTTTGCCAAGAGAGTGCCGGGCTTCACAGGCCTAACAATCGCTGATCAGATCACTCTGCTCAAAGCCGCCTGCCTTGACATCCTGGTAACCAAATTACTTCTGTTTTTGTAGTTTTTCCCTAAATTTCACTCCAGGTATTTTTGGCAGAAATGGTGGCCCTGCTCGTTCTGGCTGAGAAACTGGTCTATATATATATATGCAATATTTAAAGGAGGCCTAGATGCATATATGCATTTATGTACTTTCAAATCAAGCATTTATCTTCAGTGTCCTTTTTGAGCATTTGAATAATTTGTCCAGACTGATCCCTGACACTGAGCCTGGTAAAAAGGAGTTTTTCCTTCCCACTGATGTAATACATGCTTGGTCTGAGGGATTGCTGAAGAGACAAGAGAAAAATGCAATCATAAATTGTTGCCTCAAGCTCATACAGGAATTGTCTTGCAAGTCAATGACTTAATGCAATAAGCTAATTTTCCTTGATAGAAACTTTTAACCAATCTGACTGAATTTTCTCTGTAAAGTGCCTTGGAATGACATGTCGTTTTATAAATAATCTAAATTAAATTGAGATTAAATAGATCAGCAGACATACTGAACAAAATCCAGAATCCATTAACTTCAATATCAGCAAAAACGTTTTCTCAGCATTAGGTCAACATTTATTTTGTATTTCAAGCTCTTCTCATGTCTTATCCCTTGGTATCAAATACCTTTTTTCACACTGGATCTAGAACCTTTTCACTTTCTTTTCATGCCTCCACTGGACATCCCTGACTTGCTTGGCTCCATTGCATCTTTGTTTAGGCATATACAATATCATATCTCCGTCACTTTCTTTTGTTATAGCAAACATACGCAAAGGGCATTGTTTACTAACAAATACAAGTGAAGTGTGATACACAGAAATAAAAAAAATAACCCAACATGTGATAATATCTTTTTATCTAACCAAAGTGAGCTATTTGTATGGAAATACATAGTACCCGGTACTTGAATAATCCCCTTTAAAGGAATAGTACACC